CACGAACGAATTTTCAAACATAAATTGATTGACTTGGCAATATTTGTACATCACCTTAATGGCTGTACTTGTATATTGATTTGGATATATATACATATGACTTGGCAGTATATGTATATTTGGTTGGCTGTATATGTACCGGTATATGAGTTGGCGGTATATGCATATTCTTGGCAGTATAAGTATGGCTAGGGTTACCATATTTATGCTCCATAAATTACCACTTCAAAGTGCGACGTCTGTAAAGACAACGACCCCTTAGCTGTGATTTTGTAACTTTACATTTTCTGATTTTAATATATAGGCCTATATTCAAAGCTACCCCGGCTGTCTTCATTGACCATATTGTCATCGAGAATTCATGCGCATATACTCTGTCCAAATATCGGGTTCAGTTCGAAAAATAGAAATGAATTGACGTTAACGATACAGGTACAAATAATTCGTATTTAGACTAGTTAGTATTGGTTTCACATGCAATACGTTTTCTAACAATGTTAGCGGGAAACAAGGAAACAAACGCCTTCACCTTCGGTAAGTAGGCTAGCGCTGCGCTACAGGGAAACAACAGTAACGAAAACATGTTCGTGTTCTGTATTATGCTTGATATCTGAACGTCAAAGCGGGACGGCGGGACAAGACGCTGAAAAGCGGGACTGTCCCGCCTAAAGCGGGACGTATGATAAACCTATGTATGGCACGTTACCAATCCTATCGCCTGTGCTTAGTTTGTGAAAACAAATGACGAAACATCAACCAATTTGCTAATTGACCAATAGGAAAGAATTCGCCTTTGCAATAATTTTATTGCGCATTCATTTTATGCACAATCTTCATTATTTATATTCTAGTATTACATGTTTCGGATAAATTTATACTTTCCACCATTTCGTCTAAATGTACTTTTAACTACGACATCATATGCCATTCTTGGTATACTGTTGTTTACGTTTCGACATCTTTCTTCTAACTTGATGACAATACGCATTTAAATATTACAATACAAATATCGTTATCTAGAATTTGGAAACATTTTATTTCTTGCAAAATCTCACTTTGTTAACTTTGACTTTGTTATTCTTGAACATTTTAAGACCTTTTCATCAAGCACAAGTTTCCGCAATGTTACTGGCTGCTCTTCAACTAAAATTGATTACAACTCTTCAGTAATTATACAGCTGATTGCTCAACTGGCTTATTTGTTAAGTCGCGAATATTTTCTTATCAATTGTTGACTTTTATCCGGATTTACTTCTGGGCAAATATCTATCAATTATGTATCGCGCTATCGTTGATGAATGTTCGACAATATCGAACTGTTCCTTTTTTGTAATGAATATCATCCCCATGCGTTAATAATTACACTTAATGTCTAATTACATTACGCGTTGCAATATGCTATATGCCAGTGAAGGATTACAAAGTGATCTGTTGATACCAAGTGAAGGTACCAAATTGTATGGAACTTTTTATGTCGACTAATACCGCAATCAATGTAAATCTCCATTCATGTTAAGTTCTGAAAGTCGACTATACAAGCTGACTGTGTAAAAACACAATTTGCTTGTTATGTGCCTGAAAGATATATACGCGCGTATCGAGACCCTCTATTAGAGAGTGGTATTAATGTTATATATATATACTAGCAGTTATAAACAATACAAAATATGCAACTCGATGACTACCAAAACTTCAGCATCTAAAACAGCGCGGCATCATGTACGAGCACTGCGTTAAAAGGTCATATGTGATGTCATACAACATAGGTTATAAGAACAAATAGGTAAACAATATGTTCCATATGGAAGTTTCCTCGGCATCGACTTTCTTCTTTGCTTCAGTAACAATTGCTAATCAGCAAGATCCAAAAAGTAAGGTAACAATAAACGTTTCAGCAGCCAGAAACTTCTGTTACTTAGGCAGAATGTTAAATGTGGTTTTAAATATTACCTCGTTTTCGTGTTTTTGCGTTAGTTTTTTTATTCTTATGAATCATAATGATAGATTAAAATATAAAAATAGTTGATAGGCTCTAACTCGCGAAACAGCTCTTAATATAAACACCAAAAATTTTGCAATGATATAGTATAGGAAGAATTTTCCTGGGGTCAAAGGTCGGAGAAACATCCATTGACGGATACGTTACGGCTACGCGGTTGTCCTAGCTCCATAGGTCTGTGACGATGGCGATTCTTTCATATACACCCAGTCTAAAGGTGAATCAAAATACCAGCAAAGTTAAAGCTATTTGAATGTTAGAATCCTACAAATTATCCGCAATTTGAACAAAATCATGAATACAAATTTATTTTCCAATTTTCTAAGAATGAGTTTCATAAGTAACACATTACACAGTTCAAGTGTGCGGAAATATGTTATTGTTTCAGCGATTATCAACTCATTTGAGATATTCTACGTCGTTAAAAAAACTCCCGAATTCGCAAAGCATAAAATCGCGAGTGCGATCGTAGAACAGCCACACGATGCACAGTTTTTAATTTTGATGACGTCAGCACACAAATCTTTAAAGTAAAAATCGAACCCACAGAAGTAATGAACTTATAGTGACAATAACACCCTTCAACTACCAAACAATTGAAAGCAATTGGCGATTTATTCGAGGTTCATTAATAGAGACTATCTGCGAGGCAGACTTCAATTTGTGGAAGTTGACACTAATCGTTCCCAAGTTTTTCCAATCGAAACTGGAGTAATTCAAGGATCCTGCCTTGGTCCATTATTATTCATATTTTATTTACAAACGATATCTACATTCCTCTGATTTGACGAGAGAATTATTTGCTGATGGTGACACTGGTCTTCTCAGCAGTTCCAAATCTTCAACGGACCTCCAAAACATGTCAGTCTAGAAATGAAAATCGCAACTACAACAAAACACCCCTAAAAATCAAAATCAATGGAATGAAGATTGAGGTGTATCTTCATATAAATATCTAGGATTAAACATAGATTGTCGTTTAAAGTGGGGCTTACACATCAATGAAACGCGTAAAAAACTTTCACGCTCAGTAGGCATTTCGAGCAAACTTCAACATTACTCAGAAAGAAACACTCTGAAGACAGTCTTTTATTTTTACTTTCAAGCCTATGTCCAATATGTAGTTATTGCTTGGGGATCGGCCTCCAAGTAGAAACTTAATCATATCAAAGTTTTACAGATTATGGCTATTAAAATTCCTTATAGGCCTACTGCTCATATTAACATGAATATCATGTACTGCATAACTGGTCTCCTCAAATATACCGATATTTATCAGCTGGAAATTTGTAAATTGATGCAACAATTCCCTAACATGTTGCCTTCCAAAGGCATTCAATAACTATTTCGCCAAGCAAATCAGTGTTCACGAATATAACACTAGATCAGCATCATTATCATCATTCCACGTACCCCGTCAGACTTAATCTAAGTCTCAAAATTCATTTAAATATAATGGTGTTACCATGTGGAAATTTGTCGGCTTACTTCGAATGTTTGTAACAACTTGACTGGGAATGTTTTCTGTTGGCACCGCATGGGGAAAACGAATGAAAAAACCATCTTAATGAGTACTGACCTAGTAAATATTTTATAATTGCGATAATCGATTATTACATTACAAATTTTAAGCCACTAACTTTCTCATTTTCATATTACTTGTCTCCTTATATATACTCGTATATATGACAAATGATTGCCATAGTATCTCATGTCCTTTAATCATTTGTTTTTACCTAGTTCACACTCAAACAAATTGAAACATTGCCCTGGGCAATGGCACATGATATTAATATGTTCAATAGCAAATGAGGCATGTCCTATCATGAAAGAATCGAACATTGCCAACGCAATAAATAATTTTAGGGCAAGTCGGAAGCATTTCTGTGACATTGTATATGGATCCGAAGAAAGTGTAGCTCCATGAAATTGTAACTTACTTAAAATATTACGTTGACAGTTATTACTCAACTCATTTGCCTTTATAGTGATGTAACACACAGATTAACTGGAATATTTGTCAAGCCAACCCAACGATGTGATGTTAATGCAATTATGGACGTACCCAATAGATAACGAACAGGCGTAAACAGGGTTCGTCTGATTCAGTATATTTTTTATTCTTAATTTCAATCGAATCTCAAACATGTGCAATATAGTCCTTTTCTCAGTGCTACCGTTACCTTCTATTTTACTTTTTGAATTCCTTCCGCCTCATATGTTCATTTTCCAGACTCATTTCACCCAATTTTCTTATTTCCTGCCCTCATTCATTGCATTTGAATTTATTTCGCAGACTCATTCCACCATCTGCATTCAAATTCCAGGTTTCTTCCAACTCGTATGTATATTTACTTTACAGACTCCGTTCATCGTATGTATTTTTTACTAGACTGCTCCCGCCTCATTAGTTTATTTTTGACTCTTCCCACCTCTGATATTTACTTTGCAAACTAATTCAACCACAGATATTTACTTTTCAGACTCTTTCCACTACACGTTCTTAGTTTTTCGACTCCTTCCACCTAGTGGGTTTACTTTCCCGACTTCTTCATCCTAATGTATTGATTTTCCAGATGACATTAAACTCATAGTTTTCCAGACTCAATTTTACAGACTCGTTATCTCATACATTTACTCTGCAGACTCCTTCTATCTGATTTTTTTCAAAAATATTCACTTCACTGACTTTGTACCTCGTATTATATCTTTACAGAAACCTTACATCTCATATATTTACTTATCAGTGTTTAACGATTTATAACATGTTAATTAATACAATTATAAGAATTTCGAACATATAAACTACAGACAATTATTAGACGCCGTATATATGTAAACACAGGACGACTTTCTACTTCTGCTTATCTGTTTAATTAGGACAAACGTTCCACTGTTGTTCCATCAATGCTCGAAAACTTGCGGTAAAGCCATTTTCTCAATACACCTGACCAATGAATTATATAAATATATTTTTAACTTTTAGGAAATAGATCGAGTACATAAGTTTAAAAGATACATATTACAAAATTTCCGTAGGCCTATATGAAGATCCGCATAGTGTAAATAAACTTGCAGCCTAAATAGAAAAGCGTGGAATATATCTAACGCAGATTTCCGAACGAAAGCAATAAAAATTATGGTGACTCTAGAAGCCCCCAAAATCCAGCAACATTGATTAACAAGCATCTAAAAATTAATCTCTGAAAATTAGCTCTAATGATTTTGTTATTCTAAAGCTGTTATCAAATTCTCCTCGTAAATTGAAAGTACCAGAAGAATAGCCCAGCCAAGTAATAAGCCCAGATTTTGTAATCCGAATTGTAGAAAAGGTTTTGAAGTTTTTGACTCCACCATCTCATGAAGCTGTGAAATAGAAGAATTAAATAAATATAATATCCATGTGCAGACAATAAAACAATATGAAGTACATGATAAGTAAAAAGTTCTCTAGATTTGACACTAAATATTTTCTGAACCAAAATATATCTTACAACATCAACAAGGGAAATGTATAGGAACATTCCGGCGATCACCGCCATAATCCAGTTCCTGACTTCCGAATTTTCAGCGATTGCAAGTCCAATGTACAAACCAACGAAAGCCATACACGCGGCCGCAAAATTTGCCAGGAGTGCTTTCCATTTTGATAATCCGTTGTTCATATAAATTGCAAAATCGCCTTGGAAAAATAACATGGTAAATAATATTGAAATCCGATGACATATTGTTAGAGATATTGTATATTAGAGATATTGTCATCAAAATTATGTTGAGTGAAAATGTTTCCAGGACAATATTTTAAAGCTTACGACCAGACAAAATTTAAACTTTTTTAAACTTAAATATTACTTGAAGCTGAAAATTGTTACAAAGTTTAGGTTGAACCAATATTATAACATTTGACTATATTTAGAAAATTACGATAAATGAATCTTGAGTAAGAACTAACCAAACTCATGCGGTAACTCGTGACAGAATATTGCTATAGATGTCCCAACACCAGAAACCCATCCACTGCTAAACGCAACTCCGATTGCAAGTCCATCTCCGAAGTTGTGTAAAACATCTCCAATAAGAACCATCGCTGCCACGACTGTCAAATCTGAAACAAAGACGAGAAAAATTCAGAATATAAACAGAGACGAAACTAACACATAAAAACATGCTTCATATATATATATTGTTTTCTGATTGAAATTTAGGTAACTCATATCCTTCCCACAAATTGATAAAAAGTGCTATTCTATTTATTCATGCATTTGACGCATGATTGTTTTACGAACTGATGTATGCCGAAAAAAGTTAGGTCAACAGCAAGGAAAATAAAACGATCAGCACCTCCAATTACTTTCTGAGAAGCATGTTCTTCCATTTCTTCCTTCTGAATATTGATAATACAATGTATTAGTTCAAGAATGAAAAGCGCCGCAAAATTATCTATTTGTAATAATCAGTTTATGATATTTTTCTACTTGATGTTACATTGCCAACAACAGTTTGTCACTTCCAGAATTTTAAGACTGCCAAATTTCAAAATCAACAATTTTCGTATCACGCACTCACGTTATTTGACACAATGCGGACATGCGAAATGTTTTGCTATATTGTTGCTGTTTATGTTGCTATTGTGATAAAAAAAATACTTTTTAACCATTACTCATATAATTTCAGTGGGATTATCGCAAGTCTTTCTGTTAGTCAGGGGTCGGCACCCTACGGCCCGTGGGCCAGATCCGGTCCGCGGAGTACAATAATCCGCCCGCGACGCTTCACTGAATTATAGAGACAAAACGGCGGTTTCACGAGGAAATAATTTTATAATCCAACCTCGAGGAGTCAAATATTGGACACGTAGTGAACATAGCGATCGTTTCAATATTTTGTTGTTGTTGTTCTTGTTGTTCTTTGACACTTTTTGGACAACTACTGGAAAATCTTAAAAGTCGAAATTTTCCGTGCTTGAAGATAAAAAATTTCTTTAGAAGGCTATTACTTTCATTTACTTCAAACGTGTCTATTTATTTGAGTATAGCTCTCTTGTAATATCAAGTAACAGAATTTATTGTGACTTGTGTAGATTAAATTGTAATTTTAAGTAACAGAATTTATTGTGACTTGTGTAGATTAAATTATACTAGGACCTATCAAGCTATTCAACAGCTACTCGTTTAACGAGCCTACGATTTAATTATAATTAGGCAAATGGCAACACGCAGAAAAGTTGAAGTTGAGTACAGAGAGTTCAATGGCGCAAAAATATTCGAATAGAGCTTTTTGAGATGCAATGCAATGAGAAAATAAAATCCATATTTTACTCGAGAGATGTATCAATGCTTGCTTTTTATAAAAAGTATCTTCTTGAAGTTGTTATAATGTTGGCTTCATTCAGTGTGTCGCCTGATTTCGAAAAGCTGTCAAGCGGGATGCAACAACAAGTGTCACATTAAATATCATTTGTGAAACTTTTTCTTTTAGTAGGACGAGTTGAATTCACGAGCTGTCGCAGTCTTTGCCCGCTGTTACTTCTGATATGTGTAAAAAAATTGTGTTTCGTCGTCCATCTATTCGGTTTTAACTTTCTAAAAATATGTGCGGCCCGCCAAGACTTGCAACTCTTAATTTTGGCCCGCGAGGGATAAAATGTAGCCGACCCCTGCTCTAGGTGATGATTTTGATATTTTCATATCTTTCGAGGCTTCCGGCAAACTATTGTTTCCCTCCAAATTTTGCGTTGCGAAAATTTCTGGTGGAAAAAAATTTGTTGGTACCAGTAACATACTGTCCAACTATTTGCGCTTGGTTTGTTGTTAAGAAGTAATTTGTCAAATAATCTCCCACAAAAACTTGATATAGATAGCTGAACTATACCTTTTCTTCATCTTGGGGAAGACTGTCAACATCTTGTGGAGATACGCTCTCTGTTGCAAAACTAGTGACTGATTGAGTTACCGGTATTCCATTTTCATTTTCTGTTGTGTTATCGTGATCATTTGATGTAAAATCATTTATATGTACAGTGATCTTGTTCTGAAATTGAATAAAAGTCGATTGAAAGATTTTCCATAAATAGGAATTGAATACAGGTAGTTAGAAGATCACTAAAGATTATTCATTACTTTATGGTTTCATCAGTTTAGATATAGCTAGATGTATTTACGCATGAGTGAAACCATTCTTTTTGTTCCATCAAAAATTCGGTCTATTTTATTTACTTATCAATTTTAGTCTAAATACAAAATCCACAAAAATTTTCTGTAACAATAGTGATTAGGGAGCAAGTTTACATACAAAGTATGTTAAAAAAAGAGCCGAATATGGGCCTTCATTCAAACAACTCACGTTTCTCGTTGCGTTCCATATTCTGACTATATTTTCAAACAAATAAAACAAATATATTCCCCCAATAACCGTGAGTAACCTCCATATATATGTTTTGTCTTCAGCTTCTGAATGCGTTTCATCCGAGGCGTGGACGTGTTCATCCTCGTGACCATGCTCATGGAGCCCTACAACCTAAAAGTATGTTTTATGGACTTAAATAACGAAGGCAGTAAATTTCTCCCCGAACTGTCATGTTTACAATTAATGTCAAATTCAAATATTATATTCTACGCTTCAAATATTGAAAAACACATAAAAGGCGTTCAGATTGGCATTGAAATAAACATATCATTTTCAAATTCCGTTTTTTTGTATCATCCGATAGTTTGCTGAAATAGTTTGAGCTCACAACACTATTTGTCAGTAATTACGCAATGGCGTAGTTTTCATAGTGGTACCGGTAAGAAAAATAAAATTCAAATTTGGTATTTGTAAATGCAAATCACTGTGCCTCAGTATTCAATTTTGTTCAACCGCTCTATGAGTAAATTCAGTTACACCTCTGGTATTATATGCAAAAGAGCATCTCCAGACATAGTTCCTACTCCAAGAGCGATGAAAAATTGCATTGTCATCTTGTATACGCCAGTTCCAATAGCAGGAAACATTACAAGACCCAGAAACGACAATAAACTGATTATGAAGACCGAAGCTGTTCCATAGCCATATCCTAAGAATAAAAATTACAAAACAAAATTTTGATATTGTATTTTCAATATAAAAAATGAAAGGCCATATAATAACACCGAAACGGAAAATTGATCTCGTGGTTTCTTTTACAACCAGCTTGAAAATTTGACAAAAAATGATATCTTACATTTCATTGAAAGTATACTGTTTACAAATGCCATTCTGTCTAGTTTTTAAAATTGCTTTTTACCAGAAATGTTTTTTCAATTAACTTACGCATTGCATCAGTATATTCTGGAGCTTCGTCATTCGGCACATCTTCCGTCTTGGCTGCACAATTATTTGAAGCAGATTGTTGTAGAAGTGCAGGTGAGAGATCAGCTAGTTGACTGCTGTTAATGCCATGTGATTCCTCTACGTTGTATATAGCTAACAACTCTTCCGTCGTAAAGCACTGGAAACATAGACATTTCAGTACAACATCTAAAACGTCACACCTGAAAACGGACTTAACACATGATTCACGGATGGAAAATTAATACTTGGCAGCTTATGGACTTTGTTGTGGCTCAATTTCAACATTAAAATGCAAATACGCTTTACTTGTTAATTTCCAAGGCGTTCACTTTTAAGATATTTTTGTCTTATGAAAATATCTGACTGATATTATAATCGTCATGACATGTGATAGGCCAGTGTCAAATTTCTTCCAGTAGCACAGGTATTGCAAACCGACAGAATGATATTACAATGTTGAATTCTACTACATTGGGAATGAAATTATCCGCCTTAGCAGGAAGCGTTTATTTTTTGTTGTTGTGAATACTTGCATTTGAGTTCGAAAATTTATTCGAAATACTCAGTCAAATTGTTGTTACCGCGCTATGTGCTTGATTTCCTGTATGGTCATGTTTAGTTTCTCGCTTTCGTCTTTGGTGGTCATGTCCTACATGATTGTCAACAACAACTTCAACGCTTCCACCAATATTGAGCGTGTCAAGAAGTACTTGAAAATCTGTGAAAATAAACCAAACCACTTTTACCTTCAGAAAATATTTTACTTTTATATTTTATAGCATTAATATGAGCTCTTTATTACAAAGTTTAAACTGGAAGAAAATAATATTTTGGTAATTGTTTTTCAAAAAGAAACTAAAAACTAATCAATTGAATCAAAAATTTGGTTTGGAATATTTCCAATATGGTATACCATCAATTGTCATGATTCCATTTTTTGAACCTGCCATCTCCATCAACTCTCCAATAAAAAAACTTTGGTTTGGAAGATGACAACGGCATTTCATAATTGACAACAAAACCCCTGTGATGGCTTCTGATTCATCAAGATGATCGGTGCTCACACAATCTTCCGAAAATGGATTAACCACGCACTAGAGAAACATTTAATCATTTCATATTTTATCATTTGGATAGGACAAAAACTATTTTATTATTGAATAGAGAATAGAATCATCGTCGTATTTTAGCAACTTTGCACAATTATGTAAACTGCTCAACTTGAATAAAAAGAATTCGCAATGGATAATATATAATAGGCAAAATTCTGATAAAAACCGGTAGATAATATAATTGAACATAGACATATAATATGACTTAATAATGTAAATAAAAACACGGCAATAAATTTAACATTTATTATCATTTAGATGTGAGATATGAGATTGTTTTATTAAAATTAGTTTTACCCGAGTTGCTCCTGGACACGTTTGTTCTCTAATTCCGTCAATAACGTTCGATGAGAAGTTTTCGCTGCAGATTTCGTTGGTGGGAAATATTTTTGACTTTGCTTCGGAAGCGCTGATGAGGTCTTAATATATTAAAATTTGGATTTTTCTAATAGCATCGATGCATCAGAAATTATGTATCAGTACATAACATACTGTTGCAATAATTTACAAAATATTTCGGCTGCGAATATTTCAAAACGTATCTCGTTTCACAGCGCTTTCAAGTGTGTCTTCATTGACCATAAATTATCTCAAAAATACAAAAAAAACGAATCCAAGGCCTGTATTCACCTTCTCCTCTGTCACTGCAACTTGAATCCGTTTCCGTTTTGAGATAATATAGAATTATCCAAGAAACTCTTTCAAACTGCTGTGCGGACAAAACTGAATCACTGACGTCAGCTGCTCGTAAAAGGTTTTCAGGAGTAATGCACTAAAAACAAACAAAAACAAAAACTGTAATAAAAAAGACATATGTTCTATATGTTTTTTTTCGATCCTTTTTTTATTCAACTTTTAAACATAAAATTAACTCAAAAATTAACTCATAACTGTAACTCAAATCTTTTTACTTGCAATTTTTAGTATTGCCCAAAATAATTCCTTATTTATTTACGCCATAAAAAATTGTCTGCGATCATCATATAAATAAATAATCATTGCGCACAGTGAAGAGAAATGCTATAAAAAAACACAAATAAGAAACATACTGAACAAATTTTTGTTTCGTCCACAGCAGATTAAGTGGAACAACGTAATAATTTAGGATATACTATTATAGGTATTAAATTGAGGAATCCTGGATTCTTACATCGTTCAATATGTTTTCTATTTCTCCTTGATATTGGATGCTTTGCTTCAGTTTTTCCAACACGTTTGCTATACTTTCAGTATTCATTTGAGTTCTATCAATCTCGCTCAAGAGTTTGGAAAAATTTTCCATATCATGCTCATGACCAACACCGACTTTATCATCGTGTTCACCAGCGTAACCATCTTCAAGAATATCCCTGATTTCGCTGTCCCTGTGTGCTTGCGAGTCTTCATTTGTTCTAACAACCACAGTATGGTGTGTATGTATTTTCGTGGGATCTAATAGCTTATTCCCAATGATGAATGTAGGAACTATAGAACTGTATCCGACTTGAAATAGAACACTCACAAACAGAAAAATCATCAATTTCCACATTTTGCAGATTACTCAATACTTTTAGCTGATAAAGTAATTCTTAAACACATATAGAAATAGGATGTTAATTATAACCTAATGTCATTCAGTATAACATTTAATTTCTAAGTAACTCAAGTCAGAAATAAAGCATATGAGGCCAAAATCCTCGGCATTCAAAGAAACACCGACCTTTCAATAAGTTTTGGCTGCCTCAGTAAATTCGGTCAAAATGAAGCTCATTGACCCGATAATGAACGAGCATTAAATGTAATTTGTAATTGAGTTTTTTAACTATTTCTGAATACGCATAACACAAATTTTTTCATTGGCTAAAAGAACAAATAATAATGAATTTCCACGTAATATGCCACAGCGAACAAAATTGAGTAATTGAATTGAACGCTTGTTTATTGAAGGAGTATTTATATCACGGAGGCTATTGCTCGTGGTATTGCAATTTCCGACTTGGTTGGCAAGAAAATGGCGACAAATTGTGAGTAGTTTGGGAATTTGAGAAAGTTCGGTGTGTTTTTGTTTGCTGCTGCCATGCAAACAAAACTTTATTCTGGACTTTCCGAGTGAAACGCACATTGCCAGGTTATTAACCCACAAGAAACATTTCACAAAAACAGACAGAACAACTGAGATAAGCGTCTTCTATAACCAAGATGCAAAAAAAAACGCTAAAACCCACGCAAGTGTAGCGTTCAAAATGAACTGTCAATTTCTGTAACTCGGTCTCTGCTCTGATTATACCTTCTTGTCGTTCGTGATCGCCCTTCATCACGAGATGCTGATGCTGTTGCTAAATGGACTTACTGGCTGTCCCAAACGTTTTTACGTAATCGGCAGGTTTGTCAAAGTAGATACTTTATATCCTATCAAACATGAGAAACACATAAAGCGCATTATTGTAGAAACTTTCGCTGCCGAAGTCACGCGTAAAGATCGTAGCGACAAAACCGCAAAGAGCGTGACCGTATAATGCAAAGAGCGTGATCGCACAACACTCCAAATAAATCGTTTTTGTAATAAATTGTTTTATGTACATTTTAGATCGAATTCACTATTCTGAAATGTAATCTTGAAAGCTATACATAGATTGGTAAAAAGTTATATAAATTGTTAAATAGGTTCTTTTCTATCACTAAAAAAATCTGTAGCAGCCGATAAGATAAGTAAATTTATAGAGGTTAAAGGAACAGGAAAAATCGCCGATTCATTCCTAGTATTAAATTATGTGGCCAGGCTGTAAAACTGCGTATCTGTTTATTTTGTATGTTGACTTGCGCATGTTACGTAATTCTATTTCACGAATGTTTGGTCAAACGGCTGGTAATGTTTGTATAAACTTAGGGAAGTAATACTAGAATGTAGGCCCAAGTGCGTACAAATAAACTGAAGATTGCGAAAGTAGAAATTGTCTTCCATATTAATTGCATATGGTTTCAACATCGTTGGATGATAGTTGTGCCATAAATATACGAGGGAGGACTCAATTACAACTATAGGTCAATGTAAAGTGTCTAATCCGACCAAGTAATAAACTTTAATTACGTCGATAAATTAATAAATCGTCACTTAGCTAAAATCTTTCAACCGAACAGTCACGTCATTTGAACAACATGAATTGAAGTATATCATTGAACCAACCAAATATCACAATTCTTTATAAAAAATGAGATTTATATATGTTTTTAGTTTATCGGTGTAATCAAAGGTGTAGCGAAATATATATATATTTTTTTTATTACTAATTTTAGTTTTCAAAGGAGATGAGCCACGTGCGCATGTACTACTACTGACAAAGAACGATTTTTCTAGACACAGATTTACGAATATATGGACGAAAAAGGCGACCAGGACTTCCGCTGATACTCGAGGTCCTCGTCAATTCGGTGTTGTTATTGAGTAGGTAATACGGGGTAGCTTCAGTAACGGTATCGTACCAAAACTGCCAGTTCATTTTGAACGTTGCGCGTCTCGCCGGCATACTTGTGAGATATACTGATATACTGCTGCTTATATTAAGAGCATGTTCACTAAAATCCCTAGCCCAGTTTATGGATTATAGATATGATAGTCAGCCTCGTTTGAAAAAACATTTTATTTAGAGTGCTAGAGTAGGACTTTCGACTTAGTTGACGAAACAATGGCAACAAATTGTTAGAAAATTAGAAATCTCCCCACAATCGGCGAGTTTGTTCGCTACTGCCATGGAAACGATACATCAATCGGGACTTTTAGTGAAACGCACTTTGCTAGGGTGACAGGATTGCCTACGTGAGGAATATCATCGGTCTAGTCGCTACAGCTAGAAACACAGACATATACATGTCATAGACAAACAGTCAAAGACACAGACAGAATGGCGGAGAATAACGATCTACTAGAGAGGATATTCAATATATTTGCAGGTCTTAGTTTACATTTTATATCATAGTGAGCACTTTTTTTCTAAGAGATGGTATTTTTCTATTCTACGACGGAAGAATGTAAAATTCAAAGCAACAAATTCCTTCCAAATCGAAAAGTCTCAAATTGATGTCCCTAACATCATGATATGTTACGAAGGCTACCTACCAGTCAGCAATTCTAAATGTAAACTCACTTTCCCTTTCCCACTCTTTTCATTGCGATATAACGTCCTAAAACCGCAATACCATACATAAGTATTCTAATAATTACTTTTTCTCACTAAATAATTGGCATATACCCTTTAGAAAAAAGAAAATATTTTTTTTGTATACGGAGCATGGTGAAATATATATATTCTTAATTCACTAAAATATATTGATAAAATGTTGAAATCACAAACAAAAACCAGGTCTAAATCTATTTCGAAGTTTAGCTTTACTGACAACACTGAACAAATTCAGCCTGTCTTCATTTGTCATTAGCAAATAGATATATATATTTGCTCTGAGTATACAAACAATAATATAAAAAATCCATATGTTACTCTAATAAGTCACTGTACTTTGTACTGCACATTAAAAAGATCAACATTAACGAAGCCCATTAAACAACAGAAATAAATAGTAATTTTGCGAGTTTAATTTAAAAGTGCAGAACCCAGTTTCCCCGAATAAATCCAAGTAAAATTGGGGTCATGAATATGCATTTTAAAATATTACTTCTAAACAAATAATTCACGAATTCAACTATTTTCTGTTTATACATATTTGAATGGTCAATATAGATGTTGTGCACAAAAGTAACTGTAGCAAAAATATTATAATTGGAGGATATTCTGGATAATACATACAGTCGAATATTACCTATTAAAAACCATTTTCATGCTAATAATTCGATAATGTAATCGATAGCATAAAACTTTGAGCAGTCTAAGACCATTTGTATAGAAAAAAGTTTGACAAAGAAATTGTTTATAATATAAAATAAAGAAATAATAATTCAAGGTTTTGCAATCCGAATTGTTAAACATGTTTCAAAGTATTTGGCTCCAATATCTCATGAAGTTATATGTGGTGCACATGGCACATCACGAATAATTTCTTTAAATCAGTCACATTCAACTTTATTATAAAAGTAGGATGTTTGTTGAAATGAGATGATATACCACGAATTTTGTTTTTTAATTAAGCTGCAACAAAACATGGTCAGGATAACCTAGACGAGGAGGAGCAGAAAACAAAGAGCCGAAGCGGGAATCAGGTACGAGGGACAGATCGAGAAATGAAAGCGGATGTAGCGAGTTATCCGGGTCGAGTTGGGAAAGTGACAATTTGAGAATGGGCGTTGGAAGACGGAGAAGATATATGTCAGAGTCCCGACATAGCCTGCTATAACTAAATTTATTCTCTTGGAATGAATTATTATATTGTAAAACCCCAATATTGAAATTTGGCAGATCGATTAAAATAAGGATTTTAGCCATCTGGTGAGAAATATAGTTCATAACTGAACAGTTTTGGGATGAAGGCAACTTGGATACAAAAATAGAAATGGTGTAGAGTAACACCTAGGGCTGGGCATTTTCGAATACCTTGTGATTTCAGAATCGAATCGAATAATTTTTTCGAATCGAATCTCAAATACTTGGAAATTTATAATTGTGAGCGACTTTTTTATAGTAATTGGTCCTCTTAACAAATGAATTACTGCAGACATAGAATACATCATTCAGATAGATTACTGAGCGTTCATACACAATACCAAACACGTTTTATCAATAACTCACTACAGAGAATAGTCATAATATATGTTAGAATTGCGTTGAAAAATTATGACTTCAGGGAACAAAAAATGAGGAATTCACCTAGAATCCTAGATCATTGGCGAAAAGAAAAAAAAACAAGATGGCGGCAATTCGAAATTTAGCTTTGAATCGATTCGAATAATTTACTATTCGATTCGAAATGCCCAGCCCTAGTAACATCACATAGAGACACAAATTTAAAAAGACTAGACGCAAAACTAGATGCCGATTTACATGACTTGTTCATTAAAAATATACGAGGAAATGGGAGTCAGCATCTACACGGTAAGCACAGAACATTCTTAACGGACTGAACAGCAATTGCAGGATGGAATCTACCCTGTGCAAGAGTTAGGACTCTTTAACACTTCTCTATTATAGTGTGGTTACCAAGATCTTCTAAAACCACCGAAATGGGGAAAAAAATTAAATCAATATAATATGCATACAAAAAAAATAAATCGACAACAAGTGATAGATAAATATATATATATTATAAATTCTCACAATCGCTTCTATAATCCATTTCTCGGATTCGGATTTTTAGTGATGGCAAGTCCAATGCAAAAACCAGCACATCCGGCGACAAAAAATTTGCCAAAAGCGCTTTCCATTTTGATTATCCCAAAACCTTGCAAACTGTAAATACATGATGATATGCGATGATTATCGAATTATGATTGGACACGTTTTGTTATTATGTTGCTGCTGTATTTGTTCTTCTTAAATTACTACTTATATTTTTCTTCCTATTGTTATGAAAAATCTTTTTCCACTACTGGACCAATTGCCTTGAAATTTTCAGTGTTATTGCATGGCTACTAGATTGCATGGCTACTATTTTTATTGCTTTGAAAATTCTCTGTGCCTCTATACAGTCTATACAGGATTCCTTTTTTTGTGTACGATGACGTTATCAAAATAAAAAATTGCGCACCTTGTGGCGGTTCCTCTTTCGAATAAAAGAAAAAATTAAAATGACTTTTAAAGCCTTTTACCTCAAACGTTTGGATTATTTTAATACATTGCATTTTTCAGATATAAAACTATATGATTTTTTTTTATAAGTTACGTCAATTACAGAGACACTCGTAACTGTATAAGTTAAAATTCTCACATTTTGGTTTTCTTTAGCTAGATCATGACATTTAGATGCAAAATCATGGCGATGTACAGTAATCTTTCAAAAAAATGTCGCTTGAAACTCTCAAATATTTGTCTTCGTGAGCCATATTATTTGTTTTACAATCCAGACTAACCAGTTTTCGGAAGTTTTGTGTATCAATAGTGAGTGATTCAGTGACTGATTTGCATAAAAAGCATTTTGGAAAGCCATAAGATGAAACTCCAGATATATGCTTCAATTTATATATAAATATTATGTACATGAGACTTCTAAATTATAATCACAGACCAATCACAGAACAAATTTTTTTTAAGTATTGCATGCCTTGCAAATACCAGACTAATACCAGACTAAGTAATAGTTTAATTCAATGAAAAAGCAAATCCCTGCAAATTCTCTCATACAGCAATGAGATGACATGTTGTTATTATTGGACACGTAGTGGACATAATGATCGTTTCAAAATTTTGTTGTTATTGTTATTTTCATTATTTGTCTCCATCATTTTTAAAAAAATCGCTTTTCTCCTCGAATATATACTGGACCAATTGCTTTGAAATTTTCAGAGAGTAAAGATTGATTTTTTTGCCAGAAGGCTATTACTTTTATTTATTTCTAAATTTCGCATGAAATCTGATATTTCGTCTAAAATTTCGCTGTAATATTTTATCCATGGGAACACTGGCTGTCCGGTTTGATTCTGTAAATTATTTTTACGCAAAACCCGGAATTTTTTGTGGGTACCGGTGGCGTCAAAGGTAAATACTGCTTCGCTCTGGTTAACGTGTCCATATATTTGAGCACAGCCTTCTTGTTATCGTAATAAAAGCACAAATAAACCCGACACTGTAATACAATGCTAGAACTATTTGGCAAAATCTGATTAAAGACCGTCATATATATTTTGGATTTCAAATTCAAGAAAAACAATAGAGCGATGCTCAAATATATGGACACGAACGCGAAAACGAATATTATACCCACGATTTACCAAAAAATGACATCGCACAATAAGCTGGAACTGTGGAACAGATATATACGCATCATAACTGACCAGTACCGGTACCCGGAATGTCTTGGCTAATCCGGATCCTGTGACAATTATGATTCATGCGTCTAGTCTCAACGTGAATCGAAATACCAAATGCTTAAATTCACAACTTTAGTATCGAATCCGTTACAGTACCCTACCTTTTACATCAGCTTGTCGGTACCTTACCTAGTCTACCGTATGTTACGGCAAAACGAACTTCCGATCTTTGGATAGCACAAAATCCGCTAGCATGTCGCGGGACCGCTATAAATAATTTTTATTTCGAAAAGGTCATCACACAAAACTTAGAAGTGAAAAACGAATCACATAGAGCGCTAGAAAGGTTGAAATAAATAAAAGTAATAGCATTCTAGCGATAATAACAATCTTTCCCCACCGAACATTTCAAAGCTATCGGTACAGTAGTTAGAGAGATTTTTCACGACAACAATATCAACAAGAAGAAACCTTAGAATTCCGACAACAACTACAACATAACAACATTAAGATCAATAGGTCCACTTCGCGTCCAACAAAAATATCAACAACAACAACAAAATAACAACAAAACGAAACATAAGTCCACTACGTGTTCAGTAAACATCAGAGTTGCGACATCATGACTCGTGAGTACTACAGTATTGAACAAATTTTTCGTTAATTTGTTGAAAGACAAAAACATCTGAAGAAGTTTATGCATTGATGTATGACATCGTTAAATAGCATAGCCCAGAGAAGATTAGCATCACAAGAACTGAATTTCGGGATTAGAGTTTGCACTCTATTTGGATTAGTTTTTGCATTCAAATTGAATACTATAGAAATCTAGGGTTCTATTATTCCATTTACACACAGAGTTTTTTCAATAAGATATTTCATTCCACTCATGGAGTTCATGGAGTGCACTCCATTTGGATTCGTTTCTGCACTCAAATTGAATACTATAGAAATCGAGAGTCCTATTAATCCATTTACATACAGAGTTCTTTTAATAAAATATTTCATTCCATAATGAGCCCCGATAAATCTTTGAGAACAAAAAATTCAGAAGTTGTAGAAATAAAATAATAGACATCATATGCTTTCCTTGGTATAAAGTTGTTTACGTTTTGGTATTCACTTTCAAAGTTGGCAATACAAAAATAGTAATCTAGTTCGTCAATCTTTGTTGACATTTTGATCAAACCTAATCTTTTGCGATATTACTTACTGTCTTTCAACTAGAAATGAAATACCATAGCGCTTCAGGATTTAGACAGGTGATGTCTCAGCCGCTTTAGCTGTTATCTCGCAAATTTTTTTCTTCCATCGCGATTTACTGCTGACGAAAACCAAATGCCAACGTGTTTATGTGATTACTTTGATTATATGGCGAGATGGGGATTGTCAAATGGGGTTTTCATATCGGAAAATACCAAAAGCAATGTAAATCTAGATGCATGCTGTATATCACAATAGTGACGACTATGTTTACTCTACCTCTCAAAAGACGAGCATACAGCGTGATAGAAATATTTTATGGAGGTTGAAGCAATTTACATGTACTCCTAATTATACACCATTTGTGGGAATTCAATAACCATAGAATAGATCCTCACACATTCAAAAACTAACTATTTAGCACAATAGATTTCAAACGTAATTTTTTATAATAGTCTGTTTATTTTATTCACATTTTTTTAATTATTTTTTTCAAAAGTGCTTTTAACTTATATGAACTATATATCAATTAGACAAGTACGAAAAATATTTAAAAATATACAGTACAGAAATGGCTCAGCCTTAGAAAAAGATCTCAAAACTTATATATTAGCAACACCCCCTGTGTAAATAAAGCAGCAAGAGACCAATAGATTTGAGCATATGCGACCTCTCATATATTCGGCTGTAAATATTGGATATTACAATATTCAAGCAGCCCAAAACAACTTAAGACAAACAAAAATGTGACATAGAAGTTAATTTAAAACATCAAACAAATAAAATTAAAATAATTCATTAGGAGACGTTTTTTAGAAAAACACAAACGCTGTCAACTTAGTCGATAGGTGTTTGTCAATAAACTACGAAATAATTTAATTATATTCTTGACAGTGGAAGCCTGGCTGTTGAAACCTGACGTAAAATATATATCCAATGCTTTTAAAGCATATTTATTTTTCGACAATCGAATAATTTTATAGAATAGAATAATCATCTGTTAATTAATGCAGCGATTAAAAAAATATCAAATTGGAATGAGTAAAATCACCCAAAAATGCGCATGATAAGTTTACAAGCATTCAAGAAACTTGAAAAATCTGTTGTATGACTTTTGTTATTCCAAAACTGTCCTCAAAGTATCTTCATACATTGCAAGCAATAGAAGAATAGCCCAGCCAAGTAATAACCCGAGGTTTTGTAATCCGAATTGTAGAATAGGTTTTGAAGTTTTTGACTCCACCATCTCATGAAGCTGTGAAATAAAATAAATACTAAATTTATACAATAATGCACAGGAAATAAAATAAGACAATTTATATCACACCCCTTGTTTTTATACATAACGCTGAATATCCAACCAAATATCTAACTAAATAAATTACTAAAAAATATCTTACAACATCAACAAGGCATATGTATAGAAACATTCCTGCAATGACCGCCATAATCCAATTCCTGGCTTCCGGGTTTGTAGCGATTGCAAGTCCAATGTACAAACCAACAAAAGCCATACACGCGGCCGCAAAATTTGCCAGGAGTGCTTTCCATTTTGATAATCCGTTCTTCAGATAAATTGCAAAGTCACCTTGAAAAAAAATGAACTTTTTATCTCTTGATTATCAAGCTTGTTATTGCAGAAAATATTAACATGCTAATATCAGATCATTTGGGAGAAGCATCGTTTTAGCTATATTTACATCAGGTATGTTTTGAGTGAATGGTATTTTCCTAAATATAATCTGAAACTTTTGACAAAACAAATTTGTTCAAATTTTTATGTAATAATGTGTCGGACCAATATTCTACGAATTGACGTATATTTTAAGTATTGCGATGAATTAACGAGAAATATGAACATGAACTAACCAAACTCATGAGGTAATTCGTGACAGAATATTGCTATAGATGTCCCAACACCAGAAACCCATCCACTGCTAAACGCAACTCCTATTGCAAGTCCATCTCCGAAGTTGTGTAAAATATCTCCAATAAGAACCATGGCTGCCACAGTCGTTAAATCTAAAACAAAACAAAAAAAAACATCTGAAACAAATCTATCTGAATAAAATTAAAGATAGAGACAGAAAGAAAACTAGCTCACAAAACATGTGAATTGAATTGCATAACTGGTGAGAATATAGAATCCACAATTTGTTGCGTCTTTAATTGCCATGTCGGATAACAAGTTCACCAGAGTGGAACAACCTTAAAAACTTGTTCGTGCGTTGTTGCGGAAAGTTGGAAAATTAATATTTCAATTTCGAGAAACAAAACATTTGTAAGTGACGAATACATCAAAACGAGTTAGATTAAAAACGGGAATAAGACAAATATGGATATCAGTACCTCCAACTACTTTCTTAGAAGCATGTTCCTCTTTTTCCTTGTTCTAAATATTGATAATAATATTTATTAGTTACAGAATAATGTGAGAGACGTAAGGCATGTGTTTATAACATTGTTCTTGCTGTTACATCGCGTTTATCTCGTTCAATGTATTAATAAGAGTGCAATGTTTCAAAACTAAAAATTTCCAGCTCCGCTTTTATTTACGTTATTCCACACCTTTTTATAGCAAAATATTTTTTTGTTATTTAGGCTGTTGCCGTGAGAAAAAACTAATTGCCCGAAATTTCAGCAGAATTTTTTTTTAGTGCTTCCGTAAGTAGAGACTTTGTGATTTTTTATATTTTTGGAGACTTCCGGTAAACCATTGTTATGTTTAAAATTTTTGCTTTTTGTTAAAATTCTGTCCAGAAATTTTGGTAGCATAAAATCGTCTATCTATTTGTGCATGGTAATGAGTAATTTGTCAATTACTTTAATTAAACCACTTCTGATAGAGAGTCAAATTACCTTTTGTTCATCTACATTATTGAAATCTCCTGAAGTTACGCCATTAGCTGCTGCGGCACCAGTGACCGTATGTGTGACCGTTCTTGCATTTTGGTTTTCTATTGTATGTTCGTGATCGTTTGCTGAAAAATCATGGAGATAGACAGGAGTCTTTTTCTGAAATTTGAAAAAGTATCATCGATTAAAACTTGGGAATATTTTCCATAAAAATGAAATAAATACACCTAGCAGGTAGAACTGTATAGATTCTTTACTAGCTTTATATAGCGAGATGTTTTTATTTTTGGATCTATAAATTCTTTTTATTTTATCAATGGCTTACTTTTCAATCCTGACCAAATTTTTTCACCCACTTCAGAAGTTTTTTGTATCAATAGTGATTAAGTGACACGTTCGCAAAAAAAGTATGTTGAAGAAAAAAATAATCCATTGCTTATTATAAACAACTCACGTTTCTTGTTGTGTTCCATAGTCTCACCACATTTTCAAACAAATAAAACAAATAAATTCCTCCAACAACAGTTAGCAACCTCCACAAATATGTTTTATCTTCATCCTCCGAATGTGTCTCACCTGGAGCGTGTGCATGGAGACCTACAACCTGAAATTATATTTTACATACTTTAAAAATGGAGGCCAACACATTTCGGAAAGTTCTAAGCTGTTTGGTCAGTTTCCTCTCCCAATGCCATGTTTACAATTCATGTCAAGTGAAATTATAATTATAAACTCTTAAATGTATACCATTTTAATAAACAATTGACTCACAATTTGGATTTGTAATTTTTCGTTCACAATTTTTTAGGCTTACAGTAACTATAGTTGTCTATGTTGTTGGAAGTTAGTACGTAAAGCCTATAGTCTCTTCTTTGCGATACAGGAACTCAAATTAATATCAGCACTTTTGAATGAGAACTCTGTACATCAGAATTGTAATTTCATGAAACGATATATCAACTAACTTCACACCTCTGGTATTATATGCAAAAGAGCATCTCCAGACATAGTTCCTACTCCAAGAGCGATGAAAAATTGCATAGTCATCTTGTACCCGTCCGTCCCAATAGCAGGAAACATTAGAAGTCCCAAAAACGCCAACAAACTGATTATCAAGACGGATGCTGTTCCATACCCATATCCTAAAAATTAAAAAAGCAATATATATAATACTACCGTAACAACAAATGTAACTTAGAGCTTGTTTTACAAACAATTTGACAATTTGCAAAAAATTATCTCTTCCATTCCTTTCATGTTATTATTACAAGGATCTACTTGGTTACATGTTGTATTTAGTGTCCTTTTTAGTCAGCAGCAATAACATGACATTTTCAATATTACTGAAACTAAATTTTGTTTTTGTTTTTTTTCTCATAATGCAAACGAAAAAATGTTTACCGATGTCGATGTTCAAGATATATGTATGTATATATATATATATAGAGAGAGAAAGAGACCTGCTGTTTCATATTATAAATACAATATGAGCGCCTAATAATTTATATATATATATATATGAATAATTGAATATATCATTCACTTCAAATCATTAGATCAATTCGACCATCTAAAAGAAATTTTAAAAATTGAGGCATATCTTGGTTGATCGTTACAAATTATACACAATTTTCAAAACACTTTCATCGTTCATCGTCACTATAATTTTCATCAATTATATCGCTTGTCAAAAACATATTTTGTAACATAATGCTTATAGGTTATATGACTCGGTAGTATACTATATATGTGCCTTGAAATTAACTTACTCATTGCGTCAGTATATCCTGAGTCTTCATTCGGCGTTTCTTCCGTTTTGGCGACGCAAATATTCGATACAATTTGTTGAAGAAGTGCTGGTGAGAGATCAGCTAGTTGACTGCTGTTGATGCCACGTGACTTATCTATGTCATAAATGGCTAACAGTTCTTCTGCCGTGAAACACTGGGAAGATGGATATTTTACTACATCATATATAACGATGTCGAACTCAGAAACAGACTCACGACCTGAACTACCAAATATTCGAAATACAAACGTATGCAGTCAACTTGACCTATTTTCAAGGTGTTCTAAAGTATGTTTATGTCGTAAATTTATCTGACAAACATTATATAATTGTTCTGTATAACGTCATGAAATGTGATAGGCTAGTATCAAATTTCTTCATGTATCATATACGTCTTGCAAACTATTAGAACGGTAATATAATTCTAAATTTTGTGACGTGTATGTGATTACCCGCCTTAAATTTTCTACTCGAAAAAAAAAAAAGTATAAAGTTGATGTTTTCCACGGTTTCATGAGCTGGTGTTGCAGTTTAATATTCTATATTTTGGATGGATGATATCAAAAACATGGGTAAACATGACATTTGAATCAAACAAGACGTAATAAAACGAAATCGTCAGCTTCCAAATGCGCTGAAATGCGTGATTTGCTGGAAATGTGCGTGCAACTTTGTCGAAGTGCCTATAGCACAATTAAATAAAAAATTTCGAAAAGAAAACGACAAAAAAGCTTCAAATAACTTCCATAATTTTAGTTTCAACTCATTTTATGTATGGTACTGCAGAATTATTAATACGAAGAAATCTTCATAGGCTTTTGAGAACTATTTCAAATATAACTTACTCCGTTGTTTGCGTGATTTTCACTATGGTCATCTTCGGTTTCTCGCTTTCGCCTTCTGTGGTCATGCCCTGAATGATCATCATCAACCACTTCAACGCTTCCACCAATTTTGAGTTTTTCAAGCAGTACTTGAAATTCTGGGAAAATACATCAAAACACTCTTGTATATAAAAACATTTCACTTTTATTATTTAAACTTCTTTGGGGTAGAATGAATTTTGAGACATGGGGAAACCCAATATTCTAGTATTTGTTTATATGGAATACAATAACAGTAGGGCCAATGCTTAGCTTTTTTCAGTTAAGTGCGCCACTGCTGTATGCCTACTGTCATCGAGAAATGCGGGAACTCGAACTTGCTATTTTCCACACTAAGAATTCAAATAAGGTTATTAGGTAATAAATTCTAAGCTAAAAAAAAATGTCGCTCTCAAAAAATATGAGCTCCCGACACATACAGCCGATTAACTTTTTGTCTGTCCATTTTTTTGTATTTTTTATAATTTATTCTTAAAACCACGCTGAAAATGATTCAATTAAATCAAAAATCTCGGTAGAAAAATTTTCAACATGTCACCTTCAATTGTTATGATTCCATTTTTGGAACCTGCCATCTCCATCAACTCTTCAATAAAGAAATCTTTGTCTGGAAGATGACAACGGCATTTCACAATCGACAATAAAACACCCGTCGTACCCTCTGATTCAACAAAATGATCGGTGCTCATACAATCTTCCGAAAACGGATTAATCACGCACTAGAAAGATATTAAAAAATATAAATTAATTATCGTCATTCGATAGAACAAATTAGCCATTAACAACTTGAAGAACAACAAAAAAAAATCTGGAATAGGAACTATAGTGTAAATCGGATACCTGATTATGCTACAGTACAGACATAAATGCAGGTTCATTATAGGATTCGACGCAGACATCTGGCACTTATTATGAGTTTATTATGTAGAAAAAAAATCACATTAGCAACAAAACGCGTAACATTTAGATGCATAGTGTAAGACTGTTATATCAAATTAGTTTTACCCGAGTTGCTCCTGGACACGTTTGTTCATTAATTCTCTCAATAACGTTCGATGAAAAATGTTCGCTGCAAATGTCATTATCGGGAAATAAAATCGACTTCGCTTCGGAATCGCTGATGAGATCTATATAATTGAAATTTTTAGTTTTATTAGAAACGATGACTCTTATTTCAAGAGTTATAAAAAGCAACCTGTTTCAAGCTCTCTGCGTTCCGATTACGCTTCCCAGGCAAACATCTCATTATAGTTTGTAGCACAGGTACAATGTTAGCAAATAAACTTGGAAGTATTTTAAAGAAGAATTTAAACTAGAATGTTTTGATTTTATCAAAAACGGTATTCACCTTCTTCGTCGATGCAAGTCGAATTCATTCCCGTTTTGAGATAATATAGAATTATCCAAGAAACTCTTTCGAACTGTTGTGCAGTCAATACTGAGTCACTGACGCCAGCTGCTCGTAAAAGGTTTTCAGGAGTAATACACTGAAAAAAGCAAAAAATATATAAAAAAAAAATGTAAAAAGGAATCTGTGTCTGATATATCTGTTGGTAGAATACGTTTTTCCTTTAATATTTTTTCAAAACATATAAAAGTTTTGACGCAAGCGTTTTGTTTGCAATTTTGAGTATTGCAAAAATGAACTTATTTATTTATGTCATAAAAAGATTAGATTTGGGAATTTTCTCACAGAGCATTGAGAAGGGTATTTGTTGTTATTATCGTATCAATAAGTTAATATTCAATAAGAATAATGGGGTCAATAATAATGAAAGAATTCTAGTTTCATCGAGACTTAACATGTGAAACGACGTAATGGCATAGAATATATTATATATTCCATAAAAGACTGCAAAAATCTTACTTTGTTGCATATATCTTCTGTTTCTCCTTGGCATTGAGTGTTGTGCTTCAGTTTTTCCAACACTCTCGCTATACTTTTAGTATCCATTTGAGTGCTTTCAATCTCCGTTAGGAATTTGGAAAAATTTTCTATGCCATGTCCATGACCATGATGGTCATCTTCATCGTGTTCATCTCCGTGATCATGATCATCTCCATCGGTATGCTCATCTTCGTGATCATGATCATCTCCATCGGTGTGCTCATCTTCGTGATTATGTTCCTCTTCGTGATCATGATCATCTCCATCGTTGTGCTCATCTTCGCGATTGTGTCCCTCTTCGTGATCATGATCATCTCCGTCGGTGTGCTCATCTACATGATCATGATCATCTCCATCGGTGTGCTCATCTTCGTGATCATGATTCTCTCCATCGGTGTGCTCATCTTCATGATCATCTCCATCGGTGTGCTCATCTTCGTGATTATGTTCATCTTCATCAACATGCTCATTTTCGTGATCATGATCATCTCCATCGGTGTGCTCATCTTCGTGATTATGTTCATCTTCATCAACATGCTCATTTTCGTGATCATGATCATCTCCATCGGTGTGCTCATTCTCGTGATTATGTTCATCTTCATCAACATTCTCATTTTCGTGATCATGATCATCTTCATCGGTGTGCTCATCTTCGTGATTATGTTCATCTTCATCAACATGCTCATTTTCGTGATCATGATCATCTCCATCGGTGTGCTCATCTTCGTGATTATGTTCATCTTCATCAACATGCTCATTTTCGTGATCATGATCATCTCCATCGGTGTGCTCATTCTCGTGATCATGTTCATCTTCATCAACATTCTCATTTTCGTGATCATGATCATCTTCATCGGCGTGCTTATCCTCGTGATTATGGCCATCTCCGTCGGTGTGATCATCTTCATCTGTATGAACACCTGTATCATGATGAGGGTGTAGTCCTGTATCACCCGCTATTTTATCTCCATCAATATTTTGGGGGATAGTAGAACTGTATCCAAAATGAAATAGAATACCCACAAACAGAAAAATCGAATATCTCCGCATTTTGCAGAATAACTCTAACTCTAGCACTAGTAACTAGTGATTAGTATAATAGTGCTTGGATACATATAGATAAATGATGTTAATCATTTATAGCAATATTTAGGTTTTAATATGTAAAGACTTCCCCTATTAGAACAGGTATAGTAGTACCGACATATGGACAACGCGAAGACTTGCTAATAAAATTAATTTTAGAAAAATACCGCTCCAGTTTTCTCCTTAATTTCTTTAATTTGACGTCAACAAAGTGGACGCACATAAACCATTGCTAACGTATCCTTGTTTAAAATAATAATTACTAAATGGGAGAATTTTATTTCAATCTTAGGTCATCAGCCTCTGAAATGTCCACGCTAAAAGTAAAACGTTGCTGCAGGGTATATTCGTTGTAACGCAGTGAATGCAGTTAATCACGTAACAAATTAATTACAAGGAGAAAAATAGTTTCAATTTGAAAATATCTTGTTTTCAGTATCTTGCAAAACTGGATTGGAGAAAAGCGTTTCTAAACGCCTTTTGGTATAAGATAAATTTGAAAAATAAATAGTAATTATAAATATTGTTTAATGCTTTGTTGGATACATACTGTAAATGCTCTCTCATATCATAAAAAGTATGCATGAACTTTTGTAATTACTTTACTAAATATGAAGGTTGACTTCTGAAAATTTATCCAACAATAATAAATAAATATAACACCTTGTTGCTCCAAAATGCACAAAAGTACTTTGAAAAATAAAACTACAAAGTCAGGTAACTTCACCGGTTGCAAAACTAACATAATTCCCTCCAAAAATATGTTTTTCGTGTACATTTTTTTATTTTTGGAAACCAAATAAATTGATGTTTTCTGAATATTCTGACATTTTACTCAATAATCTTTGTTTAGAGGTTTGCTTTTCCCACCTTCTCACCAGATTTAAGTAAATTCCCTCATATATAATTAAAGACATAATGAGAAATATTAAGTGCTAAAAATCTCTTTTTATTGCCTAAATAAACTTATTTTTTTGTAAAGAATACTCGAACTTGATATAAAAAAAAACCAACGCGTTTGCTTATATAATAATTTGAACGTATAATTTTTATATTAATTGTTTTGAAAAGTAATTCGATGAATTACAATTTTGTTAATTGACTCAAGTCAAAATCAATTTATTTGGTTAATTTAACTGGTACAGTACCTAGGAACAAACGCTAATTTCACGCTATCCTCGGCGCGATTCTTTCTATAATGATTTACTAGAAATATTTCTTTTTACTCTACTTATCCAACCCCTCGGGCCAGAGAAATTTCTGATGAAATCCGAATCACGTTTGAGCGCACAAATTTTGGTTCCAGATCGAAAGAAAATGTGTCATATGCCACGTTCGGTTTGGGCACATACGTAAACATCTGGGGCGCCATTCGCTAAACTTCGTAAAAAGCCGGGTTTACGATCTCGTAACTGTGTCTCTCAGAATCGTGATAGCGAAATCTCGTTAAATGCGATTCACCAAAGACCTCGTAAGCACTTGACGCACGGTCACTAGCATTCTCTCGAAATCTTACGCACGGTCGCAGTTGAACAAAATGCACTGACTGATCACTCAGCCGTATCAGTTGTCGCCGCTTACGGTCGAGCGTCTTTCGCCTTCGCGGTAACCTATCGGCTTTCTCTGCTTCACCTTTGCAGCCTGCGTTTTGAAATTTTGTTCATATAGCAGTGGCGTAATCTATAGACTGACGGATAGGCTACATGGAATAAATGCTGAAGTTACACAGAGAGAGATTTATTGCCACAAAACAAATTACATATTGTGAACTATTTGTGTAACAGACAATAAAATCAGTGAGTTGCCAAAGCTTGTTAAGATTCCATATTTTTAATTTTTCATTGAGTCTATAGTCCTCTATTAAGGTCCTTTCATTTGCATCTAGCTAATTTTTTTCTTTCGGATACGACATGGAGAGATTGTTGGACTTTTCTTCTGCAAGCTTCAATATAGGTAGCCATTTGTGAATCTGTGTTCATAATACTGTAGGCCAGTGCTAGAATAAACAAAAAACAATGACTTCAACAACTGAACAATCTCTGAATCTCAACCCTAGTTTAATCTGTAAATGCGGCAGATATTCCACAGCTAAGTTAACGGCACTAGACTACATACACGCTTACCTGAGTAAGGCCCCTTGATACTATGCCAATTTTTACAAAGTATGCTAACGTCCCAACGAGCCTATTTTAATTTGAATCACTGCTGAGAGCAATCCGAACTGTTAACGAGGCGAAGATTGTTCTCGTTAGCTAGCGAGCTCTTCAGCGGTTAAAGAACTTCCGTGAATACCGATTCTCGATAAAATGTGAGAAGAAGGCACTTTACGAGACGTCTCATTTGGCGCCAAAAAAACTCTCTCGAATAATTTCTCTCGAATATTTACGAAGCTCTGTGAATACCATTTTTGCTTTTCACGAGAAAGTCGGTGCTTGACTAACACGTTAAGCGGTAACGAAGCTTTGTGAATGGGGCCCCTGGTGTGAAACAAGTTATTGAATATGCCATTTTGTACAAAAGTACAAAACATAGCCGAGCTTTCTGAGACTAGAACACCATTTTATGTTCAAGATACATATTATAAATTTCTATAAAGTGACGAGGCAACACATTTCAATAGGTGATTGCTATGCTTTTCTTCTTTGCTGTTTTATGCTTTCAACTTAATTATATTAACACAGTACCTCCAACGAGTCCTACAAGAGTTTGGTTAATTACCTTATTTTATTCACATTGTAGATAAATGTGCAAATTGCTTAGAAGTTTTTGCTTTCTACGTCGATGCCAATTCGGACATTTACAAGAACCGAGTGACAAATTTGCTTGGGTTCAAGCTTTCATTTTTAGTTACATAAAAATTCAAAATGTGAAATAACCCGTTTTTGACTTCCGTTAATTGCCCTAGGCTAATCACATATGTACAAAAATCACATGGAATTGAATATACAAAAGAATGACAAAATATTAACATAATAAAAGATTCTTATTTGCACCAAAACAGATTTTATGTAACTGATAATAATCTCTAAAACTTAAAACTTCTTCCGTTTTAATTTGAATGCTTAGAAGTGAAACTTTCTTAACGGTACAATTCTTATAATGACATCAAATTCCATTTTTCATCTCCACCCATCACTACATTTAGTTTATGCGAAAATTTATCAATATCTTAACTAATGCTTGCTAGAAACTACACATTCCCACTTTTGCTATTGTAATTTCAGATGGAAACGATTTATAAATTGTATAATGTTCAAAGAAGCAAACGAGAATATCGGTCGGAGACCGAAGACTTATCGATCGGCGGTTAGGGGATCCCCAAAAACAACGCTCTTACTCCGTAGTGACACCGTGTCCCATCACTAATTGATTAATAACTCGCTAATTATACGACATAATTCATCGAAAATCAATAGGCTTCTGTTCCGAACTATTATGAATGCACATGCAAAATTTGGAGCAGATTCAACCTCGCTTTCGTGAGATATCGCGTGTATCTAACAGACAAACAAACAAACAAACAAACAAACAGACAAATACCTATCAACATACTTACCGATCTTAAGATCGATAAGTAACTACAATTACCGGTGTAGAATAAGTGACCAATCTGTTGAATAGTGAGTGAATCATGTACTGTGTTCATAATGTTACGAGTAGGACTGAGAATGGTTAACTGGTTAACCGATTTTAGATGGTTAACGGTTACGATTCATTTTACCCGTTAACTGACATCTCATTACAAATCATCTTTATAGTGTACAGTTCATTCAAAAATGATTACGTCATCGCAAATTTATCTCCTGTTTAATTCAAAAGAATATCAATAACTGTATTAGTGAGGATCTAATATATTTGAAAAATAATTGGAGGACCAAGATTTCTGATTACTAAATTTTGACAATAATTAATTATGAATCGTTCGAAATATATTGTTCAAGATTTTAGTTCTAAATCGTATATTCAATGTCAACCAACAAGTGCGGCTGTTTTTCTTTATATAACTCAAAGTAGAATTTGCACTTAAAAAATTAGAAAATTCGTCACATGACATTTAATAACGAAATCAGGTTTTACTAAAATACAGCCATATGTCCTACCCACGCTACATATCTTCTGCAGCAGAGCGATCACGAAACTATCTCGATTCGTGAATAATTTTGAGCGATACCGGGATAACGTCACGCGGAATTGCTCTGTAACCATTGTGACGTAACAAGCTAAAATTATAAAATATTATGGGAAACGTCACGATGCGGTTAACCGGTTAGCGGTTAAAGTGTTTTCCCTAAAATTCCCAGCCCTAGTGCTGTGTAAATCATAAAAATGAGCACATTGGATTGATTAACCAAGAAAACAATAATTTGACCGTTCCGATTTTATTTTAACGGTTAAATTCAAATTTAGTATCATGAAAATAGGACTAAATAAAATCATTTATTTCGAATTTTTTCAAACCATAATTTTTTGATATATGAATATTTTTGATGTCCAAAATGATAAAATATAATATTTTTAGCCAAGTTTTGCCATATTAATAACGCATACCCAAAAGGCAAACTGCATGTTTGAAATAAATCTTATGTGCTTGTATTTGACAAATCTATCACAACAAAATCACCTTTCAATAATGCTATTAAGTTACACACTTATTGCAAAATTTTGAGGGAACAGTCAAAAATAAAATAACATGACCGATAGCGTAAACGTTGCTATATATGAAATAGCAACAAATTTGACATAGGCATATCGATAGTCTAAACACGGCACTCAGTTTCATCTACGATCTTTAAGTATATGTCTCTGCAGTTATAAAATTACAATTATGACCGCGTTAGAAAAAGTACAAAGTAATATATTGCATGAAGCATCTTATATTTATGGTATTACTTGCCCAGTGGACAATCAAGCCTGAAACGTGAAATATGTTGAGTGTAGAAAACATGCTGCTATTTTGCTTCAAGATTTCTTGTCAATTCAATTCTTCGATTTTTTATTTTGTAACAAATTTTTTGGATAGAACAAATAGAAAATTTGAATTTATGTTCGAATAGAAATAAGGTAACATTCCCATTAGTTTTGGTGACTAATTCGTCATTCAC